TCTTTGAAGTTATCTTTTTTTACTTTTTGATTCTCTGTTTATTCTATTCGAAGCGAGACGTGCTATTTGCAGACAACGATTGAGATTATGGCCGTGGTAGTTTTCCCGAAAGCAATTCTTCCGGAACGGATCCCCGATTATGTGTCGGAGAGAGAAACTTTATTTTCGACAAACAGGCGCAGGGTCGGATAATTCATACTATAATACAATTGCACCGAGATTTATCACTGAGAGCCAATTAATATGCTGTTATTATAAATCATTACAAATCATTGAACACAGCGCCAGAATTAAAAAAAATGCGATCAAAATTTCCTTTGAACTCACTCCTAGATGAATCTCCGCTAGTTGTATATACTAAACTCAAATCATAATGTTATCTCTTTCTCATAAGCAACAATATTTGCTTACAAACAGCTAAAAATCTCTGCTCATTGATTTTATTAACAGATCACGGAATAAATAAATTAAATAAAAAAAAAAAAGATTTTAAATTACATATAGCAATATTAAAGATACAATCTGTAATAAACATTATTTTGCTGATGCTACAATTTAAAATAATTTGATTTATTATTTGATGAACATGATTGTTTTTGTTGTACAGTGCAGGAAAATAAAAAAAATCTGAATAAACTAAGTTAAGTGTAAAAACTAATCAAAAAGAACTAACTAAGAACATATTTGGTATATAAGACTCAAGCTTGGTAAATAGATTGCATTTAGGTCCAATGTTATTACTAAATATGTAATAAAACAGTCAATGAAAGTGTATATACATAAAAACAATCATCAATTTACAAAAATCAATCTTCAAAAATGGCCAACCAAATCTGCCTTGTTGTTCTTGTATGCACCTTTTGACGCAAAGCCACATTTTATTACGTAATAAAATAAGTCAGAATGTAATGCATGTGAATTGATAAAAAATTGTTTTTAAAAGACACATCTAAGATATATGTATTCTAATTTAATGCACATTTTGACATGATTTCTTCAGCGGATTATTGAAGATATAGTAGTATGGTCCATGATGTAAGAGAACCACAAATAGTTTGCTTTCTTTTTTTAATTTATTATCTTAATATCATCATTCACTTCTATCCATTTTTCTTTTAAAACTTCCGCTGCCTTAGTTCCTGGTCCTGAGATTTGACTTTCAGCTCCCTGTACTTTCTCTTCTCCTGTAAATCATCAATCATCTACATTCTTCTCATTCCGAATCCTTCAATCCTTCCATTTTACCTTCGAAGACATCATATAGAAGGCACTTTATTTGCAGAATGGTTTGCAAAATGTTTCTATTTTGTCTATCCTTTTAATAATCGTGCTGAGAATTCTTTCTTCGCCATTCTATTCATTCTTGTTATCATATATGTTCTCTTAATCTTCTCCATTCGCCTTCATCACCAGATTTCAAAACTCTCCAGGTAATTTTTATGTTTGAAGATACATAAATATCTATCTATTAATTATTATTTTCTGGTAAAAATTTCAAAAACAATACATATTGTTAGATAGAATCAATTTGCCATAAAGATAATGGTGTTTTAGTTTAAATGAAACGAAGAATGTTCCACTAGATACTAGTATGAAGTCTTAGTCTTAAAAGATTTTTAACTATGCATTAGGAAAGATCAGAATGCAGATATTATTATAGATTATATATCAGTATTTGCAAGCACTATTTTAATTGTAAAGAAAAAGACTATAGATAAAAGTACAGTTGCTCAGGAAATAGCAAACAATGAATTCATCAATGGAAGAAGTGGAGATCGACAGTCTACAGCTACCAATAAAATAATAATTTGGTGTCCTAAAAATATGATGACTACATTCTCGAGGACGAGAATTAGGCAGGAGAGCCGAATGTTAGATATAAATAGATGGCAGTAGTATGAAAGTTGGTATGAATGATAGTATGAGGTCTGTAATCATATATAGCATATGTAATCATATATATATATCATTTATTATTTAATGTTTTTGTTGAGCCCTACGTTCTATTTGAAGGTTATCCAAAGTTCTTTCGTCCTTGCTGTTAGATTTCAGAATCATGTTATGTGTACACTTATTTAGTATATAAGAAGAAGTTAAGATTTAGTCAAGCAGTCAGACTTGGAGTCAGGCTTAGTCAGATTTGCAGTCAAGCTTAGTCAGACTTAGTGTTCAGTTCCTTAGAAAATGCAGTTTTTGCATATCGATAACCACAGGGTTATCAAATAAATTATTCAATTATAAAATAAAAGTCTACAATAACATTATCAACAACAAATCATGAACCAGTGTTTCTATCCTATCAACCACTCTGCTCCAGCTACCAAGCGCATTCCAACATCACATTGGTAGTAGTAATAAGCCACCAATTCCATTTCAGGGAATCTATATAATATTACTATGGATAGATGAGAATAACAGTAGCAGTCAGTCAGATATGAATAATATAATTAGAGTTAATACATGAAATAAGAAGATCAGTGTGTTTTATTAGGGACGGCCAGACTTGACAATTGTAAATTTGTGGGAATCCTTCCATATATCGTATTGCTTCTGAATTAGTCGATTACTAAAATTCGCCAAAAAAAGATAAACCATTATAAGTCCTTATAAAAATATAAAATCTCGACTCAATTGAATTTTCACCGACCCTGATATCCTCCTTGCAGCATGTGTTCACAACACATCGCGACATGGAGTTGATCACATTGCGTTGTTCGAACACATGTACCATGTACCTAGTCGAACGGCGTGTTATTCCTTTAGCGAAGACGACGAGCAGCGATTGTGTTAGGAAAATCTAGTAAATTCAATGTCCAGGTGCAAGAAGCTGGCTAAGAAATAGGATTCGCTTATGTATATCACACACGTGCACATGCCGGACGACTTGTATCTGATATCCTTTTATTGGCTTTGCGAGAATATATAAGGATTGGAATGTCTTGATAAGGAAAAGGCGAGGAAATCGGTTAACGAGGTAAGGGTTACATGGCACGTGCGGGGATTATTTTAAACCAATTCAATAATTTGTTGAAAGGTCACTGGTGCATTTCCTCGAGATCATAAAGCAAAGAAATACAAATCTTGAATCTTGATTACACATGTTTTATTTAACATTTTTGACTAAAAAAACTTGTTTCTAATTTATTCCATTCTTATTTTCTTGAGAGTTTTTTCAAGTAGTATTGGAAATTGTGTATCAACATAAACTATTATATATATGAAGAGGGTGAAAGAAAAAATATTTCAACTGAGCACTATTCTGAAAAGGAAAAACCTCCAATATACCTACACGATGTCGTCGGAGATACCACGGAAAAAATGGTAAATTTTTTGAATTTTTATGAAAATATTTGGATTTTTTTAAAAAAAATCAGATAAAAAATAAATACACGTGGTATCTTATTATACCCCTCCCTCCCCCACCTGATATTTAGTGATTTTTAGTCAAACTCCCCCTCCCCCTAAAAACCTCACGTGATCAATGGACGCCCCCTAAAATAGAAGGGAAAAAGAAGAATGCAGATGATTGATGAACCATGTGAACAAAATTTTTAAAAGAAAAATACATAAAATAGAATAAAAAGAGATCGTCAGTAATAATAAACAAAGGAGAGCCTGAAAATCATTGATTGGTGGAGCTCTTACACCATGGACTTGCCTTTGGGTAGAACATGAATCATTTATTATCTATCCGCCTATAATTAAGCTTCAAAAATTATATCAAAATATATATCTTGATATCATAAATATCTATCATATAATTTTAATGATACAAAACTATCAAGATAATTTTGAAGTACAGAATAGTGCAAAACAAATTTTGAGTCATCACGATTTGTTGGAATATAAACTCACTAGCTAGTAATGCTTTTTTTGAGCTCTTTAAAATATATGTTCAAATTAGGTCTGCTTTTGATATAATGATAATTTGAGTTATTATTAATTTAGTTATTAATTTTATTTATAATTTAAAGTAAAATACACAGTCTATATTTTAAGCATAATTTTGTAACAGCAAAAAATCAATTACTTCCCAATGAAACTGTAGCTTTATTTCGGAAAAGAATGAAAATTATTGATAATTAATGGACACCATTATTTACAAGTGAAATGCTCAAAAAATATTTACGTAATAAATTCAGACAAATCTTGAGTAAGAAATGTTTATAATTCTAGTAAAATCTTTTTATTTGTTTTTATTCTTCAAACATATTTTGGAGAAGGTTATGTGTACATAACTTTTATGATTCAAAAGTTGTTCGTTTATGTAATTCATACCACAAACCGATGTGGTCAAATACCTGGACATGCACTTGGATTCCAGACTAACCTGAAAGCAACACATCAAAGCCAAAATTCAACAAATTAAGTTCAAAGTCCATGAAATTAATTGGCTTATAGGAAGAAACTCGAAGCTCTCGCTGCATAATAAAGTACTGCTATACAAATGCATCAAAAAACCCGTTTGGACTTACGGAATCGAGTTATGGGAAAAACAAAATACTAAGAAATATAGGTCTATTAGTATCTAAATGCATTAAATGCAGAAACTTTCAAGAATGACGGTGAAATTCTGTTTAAATACCAGATTATAACTATGTATTAAGATTTATTCTCGTAAGAGTATTTAATTGAAAGTTGAGTTAAGTCATTTATTACCATACAAAATATTTTTGAGGCTATTAATTTTTGTTGCTTGATTTTGTCTGCTCTTGCTCTTTGTAAGAAATTCTTCGAATTACATTATATGCAACTATATGATACTTATATTTATCAATTAATCTGGAAATTAAATTTCATATTGTACTTAGTTTTATTATTGTAGTTGATAGATTTATCATACAATAAAATCCACTAAACACTCGAATCGTACCAAAAAATCGTAATAATCAACCTGTTCTATTTATTGTTGATAATACTAACAACTAATCACTTACGATAATCATTCTCCAACAACATTCATCAAAACAACAACTAATTCCTCTATTATTACCACTTACCGTTATTTCTCGATGCCGATGCTGCCAAATTCGCCGAGGCCGCCGATTTGGGAACCATCGTGGGCATGCCGCCTGTTTGGTCACGGTGATGTTAGTTCGTGTGACGTCGCGTTTCGGGCGGCAGGTGACGGGTGACGGGTGACAGATAAGTGACGCAGCGGTAACGGATGCGGTTAGAGCAGGCGGTAAGCGCGGCAGATTGAAAAACAACGGGATGAGAGTTAGTATGGACATTGAAAGCTTGGTTAAAAGGCACATGGTAAATGATAAATCACTATTTAATTAAACTGATTTATGAGTAATTGGCTAATTCTGCGGGGAAAGTAGATTAATGTTATAGCGAGGCTATGTTACACTGGGTTTTACATATAAAATGGTACTAAAATAAAATGGTCAAAATGGTGTGTTTGCTGTGCAGTTAAGTGTATTTGATACAAAACCTAACCTAGAAAACGCGCAAACATCGCGCATAAAAAGAATTTTATCACAAGTGCATCTTTCTGGTATGTTAGAATAATACATGCCAGAAGTTAGATTTAATGTGTAAAACGTCTGACTGCACAGCAACTTTTTATTTGATTTTGATTTGATTGGTTTTGATTGGTTTTTAGTACCATTTTAAATGATGAAAAAGGCAACAATACATAGCCTTGCAATTACATTGGTCTATTTTACGGCAGAATTGGCCCATGAATCAGTATCAGCATCAATTATTTTTCAACAGTAAAAGGTTTTCAGTCAACATCACAAATATACATTCATTTGTTTACTACATTTACTGTATTTTTTATTTGGTATACATTACGAACAACTTCAAATTAAAATGAAATATTTCCTAATATTTTCTACTATTATGAATTTCTAAGGCAAAGCAATATTGAACGCATCAGTAATTTCTTTTCTTTTCAAATTATTAGTTTTCATGTAATCAGTTAGTAAAAATATAGTAATTGTTAATATTATAATAAAGCATTATTTAAAATAGAAATTGTAAATAAATGATTCATCTTAGCGTGCAAAAATACTATCTATCGTTTATACATCGTCAATAATTCAACAAGTAATAGATGAATAAAGTATTTTTGCTATTAAATATTTTTTATATATTATACATATACAAGGTGTTCCAGATTTTAACGTCAAACCAAAACGGGGTAACAGTAATGACCTTAACCGTACTGAAAAAAATTAGAAAAAAATCTAACGCTGTTTGGAAATTATGAGCTTTTAAGTAGATCTTTGGTAAAATTATGACCATTTTATGGTTGATTTAAATTATGACCATTCTATGGCTGGTTATTATGGCTAATTTTAACTAATTTTGTTCATTTAAACTGTGGAAACAAAAACGTGAATAACATTTCTATGACCACAATCAAAAATATTAACATAAGCACAGCTATTTCCCAAAAATTAAGATTTTTTGTTGAAAAATTAAAATTTTTTAGGATCGGTCGATTCCAAGAGGCTCTGCTTTGTAAAAAATGTAATAAAAGTACTAAAGTATTAAAGTGTGCTGGCAAGGTGCATCAAAAGTTTTATTATTGAAAAATTTTGAGTAAAAAAATAAAAACCTAAAAAAAGACATGATTTTTTGTAGTACATTTACTAGGAATATTATAGAAATAAATAGCAAAAATTACAAAAAAAAAACACTTATCATTGTTTGGCATTGAAAACATTTAAATTGTCATCTGCTAGAAATTTGAATTTAGCTAAAATTATGAGCCTAGATAATTTTAGAATATAATATACAAGAAAAATGTAATGTTTACATTATTATTGCCGAAAAGTTTAAAAAAATAGCGCAATAAATCCAAAATAGCAAATACATTATTTTTTTAAACTAATGCATGCCGCATTTTGATTTATTTTACTAAATTATTTAACAATACAAATCGGATCATCTAGTATATATATATATATATATATATATATATAAATATATATAAATTACACTTTTAATTAATAAAATTTCATTCGAAATTTGTCACGATGAAAAATAAGTATAAGTTATTTAGATATATGACTAAAAATATACAATAGTTTTGCAAGTTTCTCGATTTATTATAATAAATCGATATTATATTATAATAAATTTTAAATTTATCAATAAAGTATTAAATTAAATTAAATAAAAAATTAAAATCATCACACTTATAAATTAATTTCATTACAAAAAATGTAATAATCACTGAGATATATAAAAATATCCAGAATGAAGTACTACACAATCAATTACCGAATATGAATAATCCTTTACAAAAATACAAAATAATTCAATTACTAATTAAATCGTTGCTGGTTGAAGTACACATTCCACGTAAATATGAGCAACGAAAACAATATGTGGAATGGAAAAAAGTGAATATTATTTTTATTATTCTAGGTAGCTTTTTGTTGTAACAATTCAATCTGTGTATCCAATTATTCAATAAAACCTCCATCGCTAATATTGCCATTTGCATACATGCAATTTCGTTTCTGTAAATTGATAAAATATACAACTGGAATTTTTATAATTCGCTGTTGGTTTATTGGAATTTATTGAAATAAAGTACAAAAAGTGGACAGAGAAAAACAAATATTAAATGGCGCTGAATATGAATATTCATCATTTGAATCAGAACTGGAAAATGATAAAAATGATTCAATTATATAATTATAAAAATTCAGCAGAGCTTAATTTCAAAACAAAACATGTTATTGAAAACAATGCAAGAGTATATTATATATCTCTAAAATCAATTTTTAAAGAGATAATATTTTTAAAAATATTATATGAAATTAGTAAATATTATGATTTAAATATAGGCAATATCAACAAATATGAGCTATTTAATGTTATACATTATCAACGGAATTTAACATAATGTAAATACATGGATCAGCTAATGTTACCAAATATTATTAGCTGCATGAACCTCTAAACAAATAATTATTTGGGTAAACATACACATATTGTATGTATTTATGTACTGTTATACCTTTATATTATCAAAATATTATACTACTATTTTCATGTTTTAAGAGTAATGAATACCTTTATAATCCATTATATATTACATTAAAATTTATTCTTAAAATTTAATTATGTTAATGCCAAAAGTTTCTTAAAAATCGGCTCAATTTCTTTTTTTCAACAACGAATTACAAGAAAACGGCTCGGTAGATTTTCACCTAAAATTAATCAGTATCATTCCCAACTAATATCTTTCGAACAGGTTTTGATTTTTTAAAAATCCATTCGGTAGTATGAGCTTAAATGTGGACAAAAAGTTATACACTTTTTTCCAAATTTCAAAGAAACGGCTCGGCCGATCGTCGCACAAAACTGACACACGACAGTCCCCATTGAGATACATCAAATGGTTTTTAAATTTCTGAAATCGGTTCAGGCGTTTTTGAGCAAACGTTGATGAAAGGTCTAATTTTGACAAATGCCAAAAAAACGATACTCATTTTTGCAAACTTTGACGAATTTTTAAAGCTAAACGAGTTATCGTAGGGCTGTAATATTTTAGTATGATCTAGAAGACTATGTTATCTATCGTCAAAAAAATAATAATAAAAATCGTCGAAATTTTTTTTTAACACTTCATTACAAGAAAACGGCCTGGCCGATCTCTACCAAAAACTCATCAGCACGATTCCCAACCAATATCTTTCGAACCGTTTTTGAATTTTCAAAATCGATTCAGAACTGCGGGCTAAAACGTGGACGAAAAATTTTTCACTTTTCTGCTATTTATAAAGAAACGGCTTGGCAGATCGTCGCACAAAACTGACAAACAATAGTCCTCATCGAGATACATCGAATTGCTTTTAAATTTTTGAAATCTCTCCCTTCGTTTTTGAGAAAACGTCGATTTGCGGCAAAAAATCTGTTCACACACACACATACACACACAAACATACATTTTCCAAATTTGGTCTAATTCGATTCAGAATGGCTTAAAACGTCGAGAAAACATATAATTAGTGAATCGGATTTTTTGATGAAAACATAAACTTCTCCTTCGGGAAGTTAACAGTTACTCAATATTTTGTAACAGCATTTTGTGTTACAAGTTTTATGAAAAAAAATGATTTGAAAAGAGCCGTTTTCGTCGCCTTGAGTAACTCTGATTTAACTAGCACAAGTTATTCTATAATATCTAGACCAGCGGTCGTTTGGAGTGACCACCAGGCTTTCAAGCAGGTATATATATATAGTTATAAATTTGTTACAAGTTTATATGTTGTCTGTTGAATGTGTGCATTCCAAGTTTAGGAATGAAATCAAGTCTCGTCACGTGTCAGGGGTAACTTGCAGATAAAGTTCTGACGGCGTAAACACGCTTCCACATACATGAGATAAATTACATTAGCCTTGCAGTTGGCTAGTGAACTAAAACCAGACCGAATATCTGGACTAGTGTGGACCAGAGATTTCAAACTTGGCTTGTTTGAATAGAGACACATCCGCAGATGGTAAATAATTTAGTTAAATGGGCAGGTTTTTGCACTTCATCAATTCGTCTAATAATTGCAAAGGTCAAAGACATAAACCAAAAACAGGGGTATTCAATTTTTTCACGTTCTCAACATGATATCATCATACTTTCATGACACTAGATGATCATCTTTGTGTATCTTATAGATTGATTTGTAGAACCATTAGACCTGAGTCAGAGGTTTAGATTCAAGCAGCCTGTTGTCAAGCAGTAGTGACAACAATTTTCTAGACTACAGTCTAAAATTCCCATTACTGACATTGCCTGGTATGTATCTAACTAAATAATTCATAATAATTTAGACATTCCATTCTTAGAAGATATTATCAAGAAAGGATGCCAAAAACAAAACTCTTGAACATTGAAGATCATTTTAATGAATTTTATACCTACCTGCAAAATTATCCAATAGTAAAGAGTCTCAAAAGAAATTGGTCAACATATTCAATTTAAATTGTATCAATTTTAGAAATTCAAAACGGGTTGACTTTTAGAAAGCCTTCTTTAAAAAGCACTGAAGTGTTTCATCAAGAATTGATGCATTTAATCCAATTGAGCATTTAATATGATCGTCTT